TCTCTCTCTCTCTCTCTCTCTTCCTTTCTATCTCCCTTTCGTTTCCTCGTTCTCGTCCTGCACCATCCCCTGAATACGTAGAACGCTACTCCACCGAAGCACCTTCTCTCTCTCTCTCTCTCTCTCTTTCTCTCTCTCTCTCTCTCTCTCTATCTATTTATCTTTCTCTCTCGCTCTTGCTCTCAGAGTAGGATTCATTTACAATAAACATGTCGCTCGCTAATTTCGTCGGCGGAAAAGGAGGCATCTCCGGCAGGCTCGGCATTTTAACCGCGATCTATGTCGACGCCTCTTCCCCTCCGGGTAGAACGTCGTCGATTATACAGAAACCCGATAGTTCTCCCAATGGATTCGCAGATAAGGAAGAAAAAAGAATAAAGGAAAAGAAACGAACGAACTCGAATGTAAATCCTGAATTGTTAAGGAAAGGTAAGGCTAAAGATTTGTCCCTTGAAGTGAGGCTAGCGGATATTAAACCTTTATCTAGGCTGATTATGAATTTACATAAAGTATGTAGATACGTATATACGCACATACGTACGTATATATATATATATGTATATATATATTATATTATATATATATATTATATTATATATATTATATATATATATATAATATAAAATTGCATGTATATATATATATATATATATATATATATATATATATAAAATTGCATGTATCCTATTTGACATTCCAGAAGACCGTTTGGTGGCAAAAGACAGGAGGTTCAGAGTCGAAAAATGTTGAGTTCGCGGAGGAGCTCGAGCGTAGGAAGCGCTGCGGTTTGGCGACGTTACCATCCGCGAGCGCGTGAAACAAGAACGGAGAAGCGAGAATGCAAAAGAAAAGAAAAGAGAGAGAGAGAGAGAGAGAGAGAGAGGGAGAAAGGGAGAGGGAGAGAAAGCGAAGAGTATAAAGAGTGCCAGAGGTGCATGCGGGTTTTGTCGAAGGTAGAGGTGCAGAGAACTCCGACTGAGCGAGAAAGTGGGAGAAAGAGGAAGATATCGCAAAAGAGAAAGAGAGAAAGAGAGAGAGAGAGAAAGAAAGAGAATGGGTACACGGTCCAAAGGGGTGGTGGAGATGACCAAACGAAGGGGGTAGTAGGATGGTTTGGCCGTTAGGTAGACGGTTACCAGCGAACGTCGGGTATATCTATGTGTCCTCGACCACAGGCCTGTTTTATTTTATGAATTGCAATATTTCAAGCGACAACTGGACTCGCGGGGCAGTCACCACTAAACTGTCTGCATACGGGGCCGTGCTTACCGCGTGCCATCGTACACCACAGTACGCGCACCATCGTCGCGCACGGCTACTATGCCAAAACGATGGCTGCTATGGGAAAGGAAAGGTGAAGTGAGAGAGAAAGAGAAAGAGAGACAGGTAGAGAAACACACGTACCCGCTCACACGGCACAAAGGGCATTGCGAGCGAGGGAGTCTTCCCACCCCCGGTTAGTCGAAGACTCCAGAGAGAGAGAGAGAGAGAGAGAGAGAGAGAGAGAGAGAGAGAGAGAGAGAGAGAGAGAGAGAGAGAGAAAGAGATATAGAGAGAGAAAGAGAGAGAAGGAGAAAAAAGCTTTCGTTCTGGCGACACTCTGTTGGACGTCCTACCCATTCGCTCCGAAAAAGAGGGAGAGCAACAGCCTCGCATTGTTCGTCGAGAGCATGCAGAATCCTCTTCCGTCTTTCTCCCTCTATCTTGCTCCTTGTCTTTTATCTTGGTTCGTTCGCACGCATACGGTAGGAAGGTTAGAGAAGAAGTAAGAAAAGGAGGAGGTGAGGATTTAGGGTGTCTACGGGGTGATCCGTAAAGACGACACCGTCCCTCGTTAGCAGCTAGAGGTGCAAGAGAATGGTAACGGTTAAGAAGACAATGGTGTCCCTGAACACACAATCAAGCCTACCCTCTACTAAACTCTCGGTCTTTCCATAGATACACTCCTACGTGATTCCTGTACTTTTCTATCTCTTTTTTTTTTCTTTTTCTTTTCTTTTTTCTACATCAAGCTTTTATACCAATATAAACTTAATAGAATCTAAAACTATAATGACAAAAACGAATATAATCGTACGATTGATTCTTTCGAAATAGATGAAAAAAAAGATAACGTCGTTTAAAATCAATTTAACCAACCTAAAGAAAAATCTTTCACGTTAGATAGGATAAATCAAAGGATTCTCGTAGAAATGAAAGCGAACGATGAGAGGACATTCGACGTTCGGAAGGAAGAAGCATGTGCATTAGAATTTCTAATCTTGAATCTATGCTCTTGCTTGGTGGAGGCTCTCGCATAGGACGATATTTATTCCTGTGGAAGAAGTAGCATCGCGTCCCGATGCTAAAGCATCCCGATGAACGCCACGGGCCGGCGAGGTTACGGCAATCTCACCCAGTATGCCTATCTGCACGGTGTTTACCTGACCAGGTACGAAGGAGGTGGACGCGCCATTACTGCTACGGAAGATAAAAGATACGCGCGCGCCACGCCGCGGTCCATATATGTAAATACCTCTGGGGAACGCGTGTACATGGCATACGTCGTGAAAGAGAGAGAGAAAGGAGGTAAGAGGGTTGGGATCGCGGCAAGGGACCGAGGGCAGTGCTGGAGGAGTAAGAGGTAGAGGAAAAGGAAGAGAAGGAGAAACGATGGAAGAGACGGAGAAGGGCGCGGGGGTGGCGAACCGAGCGAAACGTACGGTCAGTAACTCGCGTATGTAACATACTATCTTGAATATGCGCATACATCGCGAGCTGGTCGCGTATTCTGAGAATTGGGTAGGCGATCGGTTGCGCGGGAGCTGCCCGTCTCCTCGTAATTACCTTCTTTCTTTCTTTCTGGATCCCAGCCGCCGACCCTCTGCACGACCTTCTTCTCCCCTTACCCTACTTGCCCCTCTTTTGCCTTCCTCTCTTTCTTCTTCTTCTTCTTCTTCTTCTTCTTCTTCTTTTCTTCTCTCGATTCCCCTCGATTCTACTCTTCTCTTCTTTTCTCTTTTCTTTTCTTTTCTTTTGCCAAAGAACACCGAACGAACTTACCATCTTCAATTCTTGCCACGCTTTGACACGTATTTTTCGTCTATACCTTTTTCCCCTTCTTTTTTAGTAACTATTGTAACCCCCGGGGTCTTTCTTCGAAAGCCATATAATGAACGAAGGACACGGTATTCCGTAGTCTTTGCCAAGAGAAATCAGGAGAACAGAATATACATACCTCTTACTTCCTACGATATCGAGAACAGAACATAATTTTCCAAGCGATACTGACAAGCTGATCTATGAAATGGCAGTTGAGAATGGTTTTCGAGATGGCGTGGGGCGAAATAGGGGATAGTGGTAGTGTACGCTCATTCTATGGGGTTGGATGATGTAATTCGTCGATTAAGTAGTTCATGGACTTTGAGAACTTTTCGATCTCGTACGCGTTGCTTTACGAAAATCGTATCTGACGTCGCCAGAACGAATATCACGTTACTCCTTTGTAATGGTATTTTCTTTATTATTATTATTATTATTATTATTATTAATATTATTATTATTATTATTATTATTATTATTATTATTATTATTATTATTATTATTATTATTATTTAATTTTTGTTTGTCGTTCTAAAAATCATCCTTCAATTTAAAATTCCAATTTCTAATCGAAATATATACGAGAAATCGTTCGTTTAATTCTCACCGGATAGAGCTCTTGTTACAAAGGTTACGTCTTACTTGTAATAGAACGTTGTAACAGGTAAGTTACACGGTACGGAGAGGAAAGAAAAGGGAAAGTGCGAAGTTCTTGAAAAGAGAAAGAGAACAATTGAAACGAAAAAGAAAGAGAGAAGGAGAAAAATAAAAAGAAAAAGGAAAAGGATAGAGAAAAGGTGTTAACATTTGCTTTATAGGGACCGCTCTAGAGGTGTAGCAATGCTTTAATACTTATGTCGACGTCGTGCAACGCGAACCGTCCAATGCGCGCGAGTGTGCAAGGGGAAGGCTAACACGAAGCAAGGCGTTCTCTAGCTGTGAGCTCCCACGTATAGGCGCCTACTTGAATACATTAGTATTAGAGATAGAAGAAGAACGAACGGGAAGAAGGAGGGCATGCATACATATATATATATATGTATGCACCTACTCGCGCGAGCGGCTCATAATGCAAGCCCGTTAAATACTAAAATGACCCACGCGGGCTTACAACCCGCTATGAGATGTTAATACGGGCCGCTGGCAAAGAGCCTCCCACCCTATCTTTCTCTATCTGTCTCTCTCTCTCTCTCTCTCTCTCTCTCTCTCTCTCTCTCTCTCTCTCTCTCTCCCCTTTCGCTCTCTTTACTCGGTACGCTTCTATGTCTTCGCGTTTACTCCTCTTTCTTTTTCTCATATGTTCGAACGACTCTACTTGTTCGCTTTCCTTCTCTTTCTCCCTCCCTCTCTCTCTCTCTCTCTCTCTCTCTGTATTTCTCTCTCTTCTCCGTCGGCCAACGGATACGGTCCTTTATTTTATAGTTATGCAGCGAGGACACTTTTACTACGAGCGCGCGGGCGTTCCGCGGTTCAAACTCGCGACGAGGGCTTTTATTGTCGTACACTTTTTACTCCATCCGAATGCGCCACCCTTTATTTATAACGGGACTAGGTTACGATGGTCCGACGTGAACGGCCGAATATTGCTCGTCGTTAGTACTTACCGGTGAAGTTTAAGCGACGGTGACGATAATATCGGCCGCTTATCGTTTCCTTAAAGGATAACAAAATTCGATACTACCGATGTCGAATGAAAGAACGAGAAGGATATTAAGTCGATTCGTACGAATGATATACACCATAGAATAAATAAAAGATAAAAGTGTGTACCCGTAATAATTAAAATTCTAGTATGATATAAGGCACTTTGTAAAAAGCCTTTGTAACTTGACGAGATATATCCGATATACGGTAATTGTAATCCAATATGCGGATTGAAATGTTAGGAAGATCGAGATGTTAAAGATAATAGTACTTACTTGGTGTAAAAGGCATCATTACATTCCGAACAGATAAAACTTCTTCTTCGGTGAATCTCGTTCGGCCAACCAGCCATTGATACCGATGAGCAATTTCTTTGATGAGCATTCAAGTCAGATCTTCTTACAAATGTTACGTAGCATTTGGCACATGAAAATGGTCGTTCACCCGTATGACTTCTTATGTGATTCCTTAGGGATACTTTTGTGAAAGTTTTTTTACAGAGAGGACAACGATATTTAACGGTCGACTTGCCATTATTATCGTCCTCGTCTTTGCTCGATTGAACGGTGCCCGCATGAAGAGCCTCGTGAAATATCAATTCCGCTTGAGAATCCGTCGAGAAATTACAAGTTTTGCATTTCCACTCTTCCTTAATAACCGTCGATTTAGACTCGGTTTCTTCCTTTTTCTTGGTACACTTGTTGTCCCTGGTGTGTCTTGTTACATCTTGCGAAAGAGCGAAGAGTATTCCGCACTGTGGACACCTGCCAAAAAGTAATATTTGCAAATCAAGATAAGATGCAAGCCACTATCTATACGATTTTTTAAATGAACAGATACATATTTATGTAAAACAGTAAAGTAAAGTAAAGTAAAGTAAAGTAAAAGGAAAAAAAAAGGAAATAAAGAAAAAAATAAGTATCTAACTAACCGAAAAAAGAAACTCACCTGTGACATAAGTCAGGGTGTCTGCTGAGAAGATGATCTTTGTGTTTCGTAAGAGTCGATTGTTTCTCGTCGCAATGCGGACAATCTCGTAACATGCTCTTGGACTTCTCTTCGGTAACGGATTTTTGGGCTCTAACAATCTCTTTGTGTGCGGACGTTCTTCTATGAAGAACGGCTTCCTGAGCGGTCGCAAAGTTCATCGAGCAAAATGAACAAAAATAAGGCGTTGGTTGCGTGGAAACGGCCAATTCGTTCTTTTCCCTTTCCTTGTTAACGTGACAGGTTAACTGATGGCGTTGAAGTGATACCAAGGACCTCACGACTTGGGGGCACATGCTGCAAACGATACGCCGTTGATACTCGTCCGATGCTGTGAAGCTTTCCTTGTGTCCTGTCTCTTTGACGTGCAGTCGCAGCTGCAGATTATATCGGAATTGACGGTTGCAGCTGCTACAGGGCAATGCTTGTTGACGACTGATTACCACAGGTACCGAACCGTTCATCATAGAAACAACGTCACAATGACTCGTGCTTAATAAATGGGTTTCCATCGTTTCCCCATCCGCACACCAGAAATCGCAAGAACCACATCGATAGCTTCCACTGATCTGATTTACAATTTAAAGAAAATACTATCAGTATTGATTCGATAATCATGTTTAAAATAATAATCGAACGTTTCCATCGATACGTATACAGGAACTTATTATACCATATCTAATCGTATTCATTTGACGAAACGATATAAAAGAAAATATTAATTGAATTTTGTGAAAAACTTTCCTTACTTTTTCTAAGGTCCTGGAATGAAGATCCGAGCGCCAATGAAGCAAAAACGTTTCCTGAGTGTTGCAATAGAAACGACAAGAGGCACATTGAAATGGACACTGGCGAACTACGTTCGCCATGTTCTCCAAGAGAAACCGACGCGCCCTTGGACTTCGAGGATTTATTCCCGCCACGCGACAATGGTAATGGGAAAGCAAATGTTTACCCATTTGAGCTTTTCTCACGCGAGCGTGACACATCTCACAGGAGAGTACTTCTTTCTCCCTTTTACGAGGATTCTTCTTGACTTCTTTATCTTCAGATGTACGTTTGCTTTTCTATAAAAATATAGAGACAAGACTATACGGTTAAATCTCCATGATCAATATTGATTGTTAAAAATGAAATTATATAATGTGATAAGATAATAAATTGATAATAGAATAATTGTTGAAATCAATCGTTATTACCTCGGCTAGTGCGATTTGCCGTCGCGTTAATATTCTCCTTGCCGAAGTAGCGGCACGCGGTAGATGAACACCATCGTCGATTTCTCGAATGCTTCTCCGAGCGTGCAAATCAGAGAGAAGATGCCTGTTATAGACCAATCGCGACGCAAGCTTCCTACCGCAAGGATTGCACCAATATCCCGAGTCGATATCCGTTTGCGCACCCGGTATCCATTTTCCTCGCGTATGTTCTGGTGGTGGTTGTCCCGTTGTATTCTTCCCTTGATAATCCTCGACTTTCTGTTATAAACGTCGCAGATCGTTAATGGAAACTTTATTTTTGTCGCACAATCAAAGAAAAAAAAAAAAAAGAAAAAAAACGCAAGTAAGATCGTTCTTGATCTGTTTGTCTTCCCTACGTCGAAAAAATGATCTCGCATCATTTTTTTTTTTTTCTTTTCTTTACCTGAGATGATTCAGTAGGTCTCCACTTGCCACCGGTATAAGTGGGCGGCGGATGTTCCGAATGTTGATCCTCTTCAACTTCAACCTCGTCGTCCTGTAACTGAGGTATACCTTGAGGAAGATCATTCAAGCCAGGCTTCCATTTTCCACCTGTATGACCTCTAGGTGGTCTTTCCTGATCTTCACCGTCATCGGACTCGGAATAAGATTCATCCTCGGCAAGATCCTCGTCTAATATATCATCGTCCGAATCAACGTCCTGCTGATATTCGAATTCTTCGTACCTGGGCAAATCCTTATTTTCATTATTTTCCACGAGATCGGCTAATATCGTATCGTCGAGCCATGTTTGATGATCCTGCTCTATTCTTGGATTTTCTTCTGGTCTTTTTCTATCGGCTTGTTTCGATTCAGTTACGAGACCTTCCAAAGAATTATCCGGCTCGTGTTTGATCGGAAAACTCGATCCTTCGATGTTCATCGTCGTATGTCTAATCGATTGATTCAATTTATTTGGACCTACCGTAGTTGCAGATTTATTGGCGGTGGAGGTGACGATATCCGGGAACCCAACGAAAGACGGAATGCAAAGATGTTCCTCGGAATCGTCCAAGTCGGTATCACCGGGTAACATACTGTGAAGTTTTTCTTTGGAATCCTCGGTATCCGGTTGATTCTTCTGTCCCTTCTTTCGGCGTTCGTTCTTCTTGTATTTTCTGTTACTCTCTAATAGAGTATTCGTACGTCTGGGATTCGATTTCGAGCTACTTTGTAATTCCAACGAACTGAAGAAAGCATCCGCGTTCAGTATCTCAGGATAAGAGACCGTAGTTGGCGTTGATGGGGATTCTCGTGCGGTTTCTGCTTTCTCATCTGGCGGACGGCATCCTGATTGACGATGACGAACGTAATTTTCCAATCCGTGTATCGTCAAGTGACACTTGATGCAAAAGTGTGTGTCGTCGTCATCCTCGTAACCTTCCATCGTTCATCGACGAACGCTACGACAACCATTCCGTTAATCATCCTTTTAATAGTCCCCAACTAAACTCTACTTATTCTTTCGCTCCCTCCGCGTAGTTTACTTTCAAACGCGATAACGGTGTGTTACATCGCACGACTCGATTCCCAACTATGATCATCCCTGGCGATCCATTTGCATAGAAAGTATTTAGCAACTGTGAACGCGTAATAAGCACGTACTACTTACTTTAATCGTTCCAATTATTTCAAACAACTTTTCCCGGGGTATATTCGCGTTATCTCGATTAAAAATTTTCAAAGAGAACGTAGCTAGAAGGAAAGGCTTTCTCTCTCTGTCTCTCTCTGTCTCTCTCTCTCTCTCCCTCTAGTCCTTTTCTAGTCGAGAAGAAATTCTTCGATCGTCTCTCTTCGACTCGGTACGAGTTAAATTGTTCCAATCAAGGGAAAATGAAAATGCGGACGAAAAAGATGGTGAAAAACGAAAAGGATGATAAAAAACGCGAAAGAGACGCGGAGAAAGGAGTAAAGAGAAGCGCGTTAGCGAACCGCAGCGGGCAAATTGAAGGACCGATATTCGCAGAACAGAAGGGAAACAAGTTGACGCTTCGTACGGGCTTTGGGGGGGTAGGAAGATCGGTCGATGCCGCTTGGCCGTTATTCGGACGACGACACTTCGCCTCCCAGTTCCTCTCTTACCCCTCGCTCTCGGCCTCAAGCAACCCCTCACTCCTCGGCAACCTCCGCAAGCCGTCCTTCGCCACCTTCACCTCCCGCCAACCCTCCTGTGTTGCGCCCTTTCTCCGCGAGCCACCCCCGCTTTACAAAGTCTGTGAACCGGGAGCGACCTCCTCTCTCCTACCTACGTCTCGCGTCTTATTAAGCTAACAGAGAGAGAAAGAGAGAGGGAGATAGAGATAGAGAGAAGTATCGAATGAAATTTTCATCTTGCAATCCTCGAAACACGTTCTCTTTGTCGGCCTGATCGACGCGAGTGTATTTGTATATTCGCGCTAATCGTACTCGCATGCATATTCCCCTATACTTTCTAATTATTCTTGAAAGAAAATCTGAAAATTATTATCGCGTTGGTTGATACGCGTTCGTAACAATTGAATGTACACGTTGACGCGATAATATTCCATGGAAAGATCCCCTTTCGACTATATTATTATTCTCAAAGAGACAAAGAAAAAAGATAGATGGAAAAGAGATAAAGATCGTAAAATTTTTTTTATGCAGGTATTAAGATTCGCAATTTTTTATTTGATTAATTACAATCGTAATGACGTACTTCGATCGTTTTTGCGTAATCGTTGTCGAACGTTCTCCGTGTGTCGTCGCTCGAACAAAAGACTTTCAAATGGAACGTATTTGTAGATATCGTGTTATACGAAAGGGACAACGCTCGGGGAAGAGGAGAGTAGAGAAGCGAGAAGGGAAACGAGAAGGGTGTTCTCGGGAGTCTACCGCGGAGAACTGACGCGTGCGCCACCAAACTTTCTATCCCCTTACCGCGTTAAGTTCAGTCGATATGTATTGTCACTTTAAAACCCACCCCTGCTTTCACGGCGATGCATACAGAAGGACTATTCGAGAATCGGAACGTCTTTTTACTCGTGATAAAAACCACCCGATTTATCGGTTTAATCAAGCGCAATGTGAACAACAAATCGTGCAAATATTTACAACCTAGATAACGTTGCAAGATACTCGCTCGACGAAAATCTTATTTGTTGAAAAGGAAAAGGAAAAAGAAAAGGAAAAAGAAACAAAAAAAAGAAAACAAATAAAAAAATTCCTGTCCAAAAGAGACTCTGTCCCTCATCTTTCTATCTTTGTTTCTCTCTCTCTCTCTCTCTTTCTTTCTCTCTTCGTTTGTTAATCGTACAGAGATTAGATCCGAAAAGACACGATCATTCTTCTCTCGATTGCTTCGACAATTTCTCTCTCTCTCTCTCTCTTTCTCTTTCTCTTTCTCTTTCTCTTTCTCTTTCTCTTCCTCTTTCTCTTTCTTTCTCTTTCTCTCTCTCTCTTTCTTTTTCTCTCTCATTTGCTCGCAAATATTATTATATATCTACAAAAGGTCTGATACGTGTTCGAACGCGTATAAACGAAATAAAAGGGGGAAGACGAAATTTCGTCGGGATTACGAGCCGCGTCCCGATATGAGGAGATATTTGGAAAATTGGAAGGATCGTTCGTGTGTACGGGATCTGGACGAGTGTTCTGCCCGTTTACATCGGGATAACGTTTCGAAGCGAAGCGTGTTAGTTAGATAGGGGTATGGTGGAGTGGTAGGGGTGGGGAAAGGGATAGGGGGATGGATGGATAAAACGAGCCGGATGGATCTGCCCTGAGATTTACGAGTATTTGTCGAAAAAACAAAGAGAGCCGTTAATTGGCCGGTGGTTCGCGAACAACACCGGAGAAGTCGATACGTCAATATGATATCCAATGTTGACGTATCGCGTTCGAACGACCGAGCGAAAGAGCAGAGAACCTCTCGGTAACCAGTCATAGTAGTAGCATTATCGTTGTTCTCTGTTGATCGACGATGGCCCGGCCATGATGACCAATTCCTTTCATTACGGATCCATTGATAGAAAAAAAAGTTGGAGCACCTGCTTGAGCCGTTGTTCATTCCTCGGTTTGATCCTCGCGAACTAAGCTTTTCAAGACGCTTTTCCAAGAAGCGCGAGAAGTAATGGCACGGCACGTCGACGTGGTCACCTAGCGATCCATCCAACAACGCCGGAGAGAAGCGAGGCGAAGGGTGGAAACTTGTTGAACGCGCGAGAAGTAGACGAATTTCTCCGTGCTTCGAGGGATCCCTCGTGCGAAAGAGAGAGAGAGAGAGAGAGAGAGAGAAAGAGAGAGAGAGAGAGAGAGAGAGAGAGAGAGAGAGAAACAGTACGATAAGGAAGACGAACGTTTACAAGAAAATCCGCGACTACCCTTTTTCTACAAAAGCAAAGAGAGGAAAAGAAAAAAAGGGATATGAAATGAATGATTGATTTTTTTTTTTTACTTTTTCTTTTTCTTTTTTTTCTCTTCTCTTCTCTTCTTTTCTTTTCTTTTTTATTCATTTCTTATCTCGTCTTATCTTTCTCTCTGGATATTGGTCGTGTCGATATCAAAATAAAAACATATCCCTCTCGAACGTAATTTCTGTTGTTTCTTTTTCAATGTAATCAGGATAACATTAAATTCCCTACGAATAAGATCGAACGTTCTATTTTCGAGCCCCTCCTGGACATCGTTTCTAATCCGATCGGAATGATCGAGAATTTCCTGTTCTTCCCGCTCTTTAATAATCGTCACGATGTACGATAATCAAGACAGACCCTCAGACACGAGAGATAAGTAAGGAAGGAAGGAAGGAAGGAAGGAAGGAAGGAAGGAAGGAATGAAAGAAGGAAGAAAGGATGGAAGAAAGAAACGAACTTTCTGCCCCTACCCGAGACACCATCGTCAAAATCGAAGGTCTGAGTCGGTGAAAAGGAGCAAAAAGAAAAGCAAGAAGAAGAAGATGAGAGGAATCCTTATGGGACTCGTCGAACGAAATTAGACGATCCCGATCCTACCCTGCACGAGCACCCAAGACTCTATTCCATCTTCTTTCTTTCTCTCTCTCTCTCTCTCTCTCTCTCTCTCTCCCTCTCTCTCACGAATTAAAGACTCAACAAGATTCCACAGGACCTGAAGGACCTACATCTAATCCGAAGCTTGTTGTTTCGTTATAAGCAAAATGTAATTAACTCCGAAAGATTATTAAGGAAATGAAATAACGATGTAAATAATTTCGAGCGTCGAATATTACAAAGAGGTAAAAAGGAAAAAAAAAAAAAAAAAAAGAGAAATAGAATAGCCCGGTGGACATATCAATCTGATGTAGACGAGTCAGCGTTGTCTTGAAAGGGTTGAAAAGAAAAAAAAAGAAAGAAAGAAAAAAGCAAAAGCAAGTATATTATCCTTCCTTCAATCCTTCTCTTTTTCCTTCTTTTACTTCCTGTTTCGTCCTCTCGATATCTCGATAGCCTCGGAGCAAAATCCGTAAGAGCGAGTCTGTCGCTTCATCCGGTAATACGGAAGGATTCGGAAGCTGTAGTAAGGTGAGCACACGGCTCGTGCGAGCGTCCGGTGAACGGAGGGTTGGCCATCGTATCGTAGAAGTGGCTAGTCGAGCGTATAGAGAGAGAGAGAGAGAGAGAGAGAGAGAGAGCGAGAGAGAGAGAGAGAGAGAGATGCCGAAGGTAGTGGCAAGGGGTAAGAAGGGTATAGGGGATGGATGCAAGGTCCGGGGAATATTGAGCCGCTCCGTTAATGTTTATAACGACGTTAGACGTTGGTGTCCCCGCTGGGTGGCGTGCGAGCGGGCTCGTGTGCGTGAGCGTGTGTAGGTGCGATAAGATAGGTGGTAGGTATAGGTGCGGGGAGAGTTGGAGGTGGGTTCACCTCGGCTCTGTACCCTCTCACGAGTCTGTCTCTCTTTTTATCCCCTCTCTTTCGGCTTCTCAGCGCCGGCAAGAGCAGTAGTAGCGGCGGCAGCAGGACAGGAACTGACATAAGCGGCCGGGTGTGTATGTAGAGCACGTACTCGGGGGCTCTCCAGTTCGACGGAGTAGGTGGAGGATGAGGAGGAGGGCTGAGAGGCAAAGGGTGGGCTGCATCCTAGCAGTGGGACGAGGGAGCCTCTGTCTAATCGATGCCGCGGCGGTGCGCGCTCGCCCCGCTGGCTATTACGCACCTTAATGTCCTTTTCCCTCGTCCCCTCCGCCCTCCCGTCTCTCCACAACTCGCTCTTCCTCGCTCACTCTCTCGTTCGTTCGTTCGTTCGTTCGTTCGTTCGCTCGTTCGTTCGTTCGTTCGTTCGTTCGTTCGTTCGTTCGTTCTTCGTTCGTTCGTTCGTTCGTCCGTTCGTTCGTTCGTTCGTTCGTTCGTTCGTTCGTTCGCTCGCTCGCTCGCTTGGCCACCCACCACCTTCGACGGCGCGCCACCCTGCTGCTGCTGCTACTGC